AAGACCACGGAGGAGCGGTACTGGGTGGTGCCGAAGAGCGGTGCCGGGCCTCCAGGGACTGGTGCGGTTCCCCCCGTGGGCAGCCGGCGCTGGGGAGTGGCGTAACATCATCGCTGGCTTGCTCCTAGATGGAATAGGCGGCCTGACTGACACTGGTGCCTCATCTCTCCTTGGGGAAGGCAGAGCTGTCAGGCGAATAAGGTCCTGTGCCGCCTCAAACGTCTCCAGAGTGGAGGGGAGTTGAATGTCCCAGCCATGACGGTCCGGAGAGCACGTGACTGGGGACCTTGCATGGCAGGAGTCAACAAGCCCCTGGGAGCTGCTGGGCCCAAAGTGGGCTGGGTGGTCTGAGGTCTCCCTGCCGCTGCCTCCTTAGGCTTAGGAGGGGGAGAGCGCCCTCTCTCCTGCCTCTTTTTCTTCTGGGGCACTGGGGATACAGATCGGCGCCTACCAGAAGTCTTAAGTTTGGAGCCGTGTCAGTGCCGGGAGTCCTTGCGCAGGGTGACCCAGAACCTGGGGATCCAGGCAGAGGAGGTGGTAGAGGATGCAGATCCCATGGTGGACGTCTTCACCCCCTCTGGGCCCTCGCGTATCACGCTGCTGCTTATTAAAACTATAAGTTAAACCACAAAAACTTGGTGGCAGACTCCGGCCTCCTTGTCCCCCACAGCAAGGAGAAAGGAAAGACGCTATTTCGTCCCCTCCAACGGGTACGAGCACTTTTACACTCACCCGCCACTCAACTCCCTGGTGGTGGATACTACGAACCAAAGGAAGCACCAGGAGTTCCAGGGACCCTCCCCTAAAAACCGGAAGGTCCAAAAGCTTGACTTATTCAGGAGGAAAGTCCACTCCACCAATGGTCTGCAGTTCCAGATTGCAAACCAGCAGGCCATCATTAGCAGATACTCCTTTAACTCCTGCGGAGTGATGGACAAGTTTGCCGAGCTGCTGCCGCCAGACTCCTGTTCCGAATTTAATGCCTTGGTGGAGGAAGGCAAACTCATGTCTAGGGCCTCCTTGCAGGCGGCTCTTCATGGCGCGGATGTGGCCACCCGTACCATGGCTACGGGGGTGGCCATGAGGAGGTCCTCTTGGCTCCAGGTCTCTGGACTACCTTATGAAGCCCAATAGACCATCCAGGACCTACCCTTTGAAGGTCAGGCATTATTTTCTGAAAAGACAGACAGAAGACTGCACAGTTTAAAAGACTCGAGGGCTACCCTCAAGTTCCTGGGCATACACACCCCTTGCAAACAACGCAGGCATTTCAGGCCAAAACCTCCTCTGTGGTTTTACCAGCCTTTCTACAGTTCATGGTCCCGTATCACTTCGGACCGCTGGGTGCTCTGCATGGTAGAGAGGGGATACTCTACCCAATACTGTGCCCTCTCGCCCTTCCATCCCCCTTCCCAGTCCCTCTTCAAGGCCCCCTCTCACAAGTGACTCCTTATCCAGGAGTTGCAGTTGCTCCTCTCACTAGGCGCAGTGGAAGAGGTTCCTCAGGAGCACAAGGACAATGGTTTTTATTCCCGGTATTTCCAAAAACCAAAGGAGGGCTCAGGGCCATCCTAGATCTGCGAGAACTCAACAAGTTTGTGAAGAAATCGTCAAATTCCGCATGGTCTCTTTGAAGTCCTCGACTTGAAGGACGCGTATTTTCACATAGCAATAACTCCATCGCACAGAAAATACCTCAGGTTTGTCGTGAACAACACCCACTGTCAGTTCACAGTCCTCCCGTTTGGCCTGTCGGGGGCACTTCGAGCATTCACCAAGTGCCTGGCAGTTGTCTCTGTGTTCCTGCGCAGGTGACAGGTACAGGTGTTCCCATACCTTGACACCTGGCTTATCAAGGGCCGATCCAGGGCTCAAGTAGAGACACAAGTCGCCTTCATCAGAGCGTCTTTCAACGAATGGGGCCTGCTACTGAACGAGGGGAAATCAACCCTGTCTCCGGTTCAGAGGATAGGGTTTGTAGGGGCGGTGCTGGACTCGACACAGGCCAGGGTGTTCTTTCCCAAAGCGAGATTCCGAGCCCTGGGTGACATCATTCGAGGTCTCAGGCTGTTCCCCACCACCACAGCACAGAACTGACTGAAATTTCTAGGACACATGGATGCATGTACCTATGTAGTACAGCACACCAGACTCAGACTTTGACTTCTTCAGTCATGGCTGACGTATTGGCCAGTCTGGGACAGTTTGGACAGGGTTATGCATCCGAAGAAGTGAGGTTTTAACTTCACGAAAGCTTATGCCCAAATAAATCTGTTAGTCTTTAAGGTGCCACCAGACTCCTTGTTGTTTTTGTAGATACAGACTAACACGGCTACCCCCTGATATTTGGACAGGATTGTAACCCTGCCTCGCCCAGTACTCGACTCCCTCCTGTGGTGGCTCAACCCACAGATAGTATGTGTAGGGGGGGTCCCCTTCACCAGCCCCCAGCCGTCCCTCTTGCTAGTGACAGACGCGTGAGACTTGGGCTGGGGGGCATGTTTGGGAGCCCTCAGGACACAAGGCCTCTGGGCTCAGGCGGCTCTCGCTCTACACATCAATGTCAGGGAGCTGAGAGCGCTGCGCCAGGCGTGCCAGGCTTTCTGAGCCCACCTCCCATGGAGATGTGTCTCAGTCCTGACAGACCACACCACGGCGATGTTTTATATCAACAAATGGGGAGGTGCACGCTCCTCTCCCCTTTGCCAGGAAGCCCGCAGGCTGTGGGACTTCTGTGTAGAGCTCTCAATACACCTGCAAGCATTGTACCTCCCTGGAATACAGAACGAGCTGGCGAACAGTCTCAACAGGTTGTTCCATGGCCACGAGTGGTCCCTTCGCCTGGATGTAGTGAGCTCAATCTTCCAGCTCTGGGATTTTCTGCAGATAGACCTGTTCACCAAACAGTGCAACAGGAAATGCCAGCAGTTCTGCGCCTGAGTCACAGCCCGGGCTCCATCGCATCTGCGTTCCTCTTCCCATGGGGAGGCCGTCTCCTATACACGTTCCCGCCTGCCCCTCTCATTCACGAGGTACTCCTCAAGATCCACAGGGACCAAGCTTCGGTGATATTGATAGCGCCAGCCTAGCCCTGCAAGCACTGGTTCACATCACTCCTGGAAATGTCCATGGCAACTGCTGGCCATGGGGTCTAGGGAAAGTCCTTAGGGTGATGTGGGTTCATTCCCTGGCTTTGGATTAGCTGCCTCAGCCAGTGGTGTGCAAACTGCTCCACTCATGCCCCACCCCCATATGTCAGCCCCCCCCCTCCCCCAGGGCCCGCACTTCCACTAGGCCACCTAGGGTGGCAGAATTTGGGGGCCGGCATTTTGCCATCCTCGGTGGAAATTCGGCGGCAGGTCCTTCACTCGCTCCGGGACCCACCGCCAAAGTGCCTCAAAGACGCGGAGCGAAAGGACCCCCGCCGCTGAATGCACAGAGGAGGAGCGCTGCTGCCTAGGGCGGCAAAAAACCCTGGTGCCGCTCCTGCCCGCCCCCCCATTACTGATAATCAGCATTAAGCCGTCTATCGGTGCTGCTGCCGGCCGCGGCGCTGCCTTCAGAGCTGGACAGCTGGAGAGTGGAGGCTGCTGGCCGGGGCGGTGCGGGAAGACTAGTTCTTTAATCCCATCCTGCCCCGCAATCAGAGGTGGCTCTATGTGTTTTACTGCCCCAAGCACGGCCGTCAGGCCGAAGCCGTGGGACTGGCAGAGCTCCCGCAAGCGCGCCGCCAAAGGCTGCCTGACTGCCGCCCTCAGAGCAACCGGCAGGGCCCCCCCC